TCAGATCAAAGGAAGTGGGTCTGGCCCACGAAAACTCATCACCTAATAAACCATCTTGCTAGTCTTTAAAGTGCTACATAGTCCTGTATTTTGTTTCAGCTACAGCTAATTAGTTTGCATCCTCTTCCTGATTGGATGCTCCCTTTCAGTTCCTTTCTATACCATACTAGCACTGCTCCCTTTTTGGGGCAGGGTGTGGTAGGCTTCAGCAGGGGACCTCAGGGTCTGATACATCCAGTCACATTCAACATTCATGATTTTATAAACCTTTCTCATATCCCCTCTTAGTTGTCTCTTTTCTAAGCTGAGCAGCTCTAAACCTTTTAGCCTCTTTTTATGTGGAAGCTGTTCCAAACCTTTGATCGTTTTTGTTGCCCTTCTCTAAATCTTTTCCAGTTCCACTATATTTTTTTCAGATAGAACCACCAGAAATGAACCCAATACGCAAGAAATAAATACACTATTGACTTATATAGTGGCATTATATTTTCTGTCTTATTTTCTATCCTTTTCCTCACAGTTCCTACCATGCTGTTAGCCTTTTTGATCACTGGAGCACACTGAGCTGTTTTCTCTTCAGTGACTCTTTTTTGCAAACCCTGATTCCAATTAAGAAAACTGAAAAGACTTAAAACATCAGAATAAGATGATAGCAAATAATTGTCTTTGCACAGAAAACTGTTGATAAACAAAAAGTTGGTCCAGTAAGTGTCCAAGATAACAGAATGGGACTGTATGCCCCAAAGCTGAAGGAGCAGTCTGAGTTTAGGACTAATGTGTTCTTTCTGGTAAAATCTCATTCACCCATAAAATAGAAAATATACTTCTATATTGTGATTCTTTCTAAAATGAACATTTCCTGCCCAATGAGCCTCTATATTTGTGTCAATTAATTGCATGTTTGATATTCAGTGGACTGTCACAATGCATTACAAATCTTAACAGTAATACTCAGTGGGATGCTAGACAACACTTGAAACTTGGATGTAGGCGAGGGTTGTGAAACCTTACAATACACCAAGCAGCAATGGATTTGTAAATCTCAATACTCAGTGTTTGTTTAATCAGATTAATAAGAAAAAAAAGTCTACTGACAGAGAAACAACCCAAACCAAATGAGGAAAAAAAATTACCTGTTAGCTGTTTGGTAGTCAGTTCAGGTCTTAAATTAACTTCAAGTTCCCATGAAAATCATACACATCTTGAGAAAATGAGTGTTGAATCTGAAGAGAGGAAAAACTCAGAGGTAGCATCTTGCTAACTTGTCTTTAAGACAAGTGACTTCTTTCCTGGTACCGACAATAAATGTCTATACATGAAAAATAGTTACTCCCAGCTCTGTAAAACCATCTTCTCCGTCTCCGTGGTTTTGGCTGTAAGCTCTTAGGGAGCAGAGACTGACTTTTATGTAAAATACAGTACAGAGCACACTGCTGGCATTAAATACTTTACTGAAGTTACAGTGTTGTCTTGTAAATGAATTCAGCTAGTAACAGGGTGCGTCTAAACTGGCAAGATTTTGCGCAAAATCTTGCTGCCTGTCTACACTGGCCACGAGTATTTGCGCAAGAACAATGACTTTGTACTGTACCAAATCAGTGGTTCTTGCACAAATACTTTGACGCTCCCGCTCAGGGATAAGCCCTCTTGCACAAGTATTCTTGCGCAAGAGGGCCAGTGTAGACAGGCAAGTTAATTTCTTGCGCAAGAAAGCCCGATGGCTAAAATGGCCATCAGAGCTTTCTTGCGCAAGAGAGCGTCTACACTGGCACGGATGCTTTTGTGCAAACGCACATGCCAGTGTAGACGCTCTCTTGCGCACATACTTTTAATGTAAAAACTTTTCTGTTAAAAGTATTTGCGCAAAATCCTGCCAGTCTAGAGGCAGCCACAGTGCGTAATGGCAATATTCCAGTTCCCAGGCAGAGACAATTCCCTCAAAACTCCACTCCCTGAGCCTCGCTTCTTGGGTAGAAAAGTGCAGCCCCAGACACTTCCGAAGAGCAGCGCTGCACCGAGCTTCAGCACAAAATGTAAAAACTTTTCTGTTAAAAGTATTTGCGCAAAATCCTGCCAGTCTAGAGGCAGCCACAGTGCGTAATGGCAATATTCCAGTTCCCAGGCAGAGACAATTCCCTCAAAACTCCACTCCCTGAGCCTCGCTTCTTGGGTAGAAAAGTGCAGCCCCAGACACTTCCGAAGAGCAGCGCTGCACCGAGCTTCAGCACAAAGACTCCACAGCGG